AGATGGATAGATATTCTACAAAAAGTATACATTATAATATGAAATTGTAATCTTTCAATCTTTAAATATAATCATTCAAATAAATATAAATATTAAAATGTTAATTCTAGACTAAGCATTTGGCAAACATGCAAAGTAAACTACATGAACTAAACTATGGTTTTCAAAACAGGAAAAACAGCTTTTTAAATGTCATATTTTCATATACTTTTGGTTTAATATATATTCAGAATAATAATTTAATATAAAACAATATAAATATAAATCTTTACATGAACATTAAAATAAATATAAACATTTAAATTAAAATATGCAATAAAATATAATATGAAATCATTCAAATCGATATAAATATGAATTAATTTTAAGATACGAATTTAGAAAACATGCTAATTAGTGATTTTATTGGTTAACACATTATAATCTTAATATAAGCATAACTATAATAAAAAAAAATCAAAACAAAAGAAAAACAGCTTTATATATGTGTATATATCATTTTTTTAAATATTATATAATACATAATACAAATATTTTATACATAATATTTAACAAATATAAAACAATTATACATTTTATATTTTTATAATATATTTTATACAATTAATTTATAAAATAAAAGAACAAATAATATGAAAAACAAAATAATACGAAAAATATAAAACAAATGTAAAATAAATAAAAACAATATAAATGTAAAAATACATGTTAAAATAAGTATGTAAAACATTTCTCAAATTAAATTGAATATCTGGTAAGTGATAGAACTTTAAGTCCACGATAACACACACACACACACACACTCTCTCACACACACACACACACGCTCTCTCTCACACACACACACACTCTCACACACACGCACGCTCTCTCTCACACTCACACACACACACGCTCACACACACACACACACGCTCTCTCTCACACACACACACACTCTCACACACACGCACGCTCTCTCTCACACTCACACACACACACGCTCACACACACACACACACGCTCTCTCTCACACACACACACACTCTCACACACACGCACGCTCTCTCTCACACTCACACACACACACGCTCACACACACACACACACGCTCTCTCTCACACACACACACACTCTCACACACACGCACGCTCTCTCTCACACTCACACACACACACGCTCACACACACACACACACGCTCTCTCTCACACACACACACACTCTCACACACACGCACGCTCTCTCTCACACTCACACACACACACGCTCACACACACACACACACGCTCTCTCTCACACACACACACACTCTCACACACACGCACGCTCTCTCTCACACTCACACACACACACGCTCACACACACACACACACGCTCTCTCTCACACACACACACACACACCTCTGTGATCGTGGGTCTTTTGTTTTTCTTCTCACAGAGACACCGAGACGCCACATCATACATCCGCTCCACCTCCTCCATCCGCCATCCCTGCATCTTCCCATCAATGAAGTCCTCCAGAGAGAGCTCCTCATCATCGATCTCGTCCTTCATCTCCATCTGAAACACACACAGAGCTCAGACTCAGACTCTGGGACGCACCTGGACACTTTGAGACTGGAGCTTCACCGACCAGCAGTTTGGGATCACGGCTTTCATCGACCGGAGGAAGACCAGACAGGATCTCCAGCAACACCTGCACAATAAACCAACACACAGCTTCACTGTGAGGAACTGCACAGACGTCTGAACTAGGGGTGTGCGATACTGACAAAAAATAATAGCTCAATATTTTCTGGGATTTTATTGATAACGATAATTAGCTGATATTTTGCTGAGTGTGTTATTGTGCTGATATGTTAAGGACTGCCATAGACAGCTGACTCTTAAAGTTTTGATATTCTTCATATTCTGTGTGGTGATAGTTCACAGCAGTGATAGAAATTAATCATTTCCAATAAGATTAAATTGATTTTTACAGTTTAATGGGCATTTTTACCTTTATAAAGCCATGTGTGCATTATCTTTTGAGTCAAATTCTTACATTTAATCAGAGAATTAGAATAATAAGACATTTGGGCTGTTACCAAGCAAATAAAATAAGTATCAGTAAAATTCATATTTGCAATGCAGAGGAAACACAGAAGCTGCATCTGAAGTGGCATTTAGATGTATTTACACACTGTTTCATGCAAGATATTAATGCATTTAACCTGCAGTTATAAATGCATAAATAATGTTTTGATATATTAAACATAAAACGTTGAATACTGATATATGAAATTATTTAAATAAAAATAAACTTTAAATGTGAAATTAAAACCGCCAATAGGTGGCAGCGAGTCACTGTTAATAAGTGAGTCATTGCGATTGATCCGAATCATTTAAACGAGTGATTCATTCAGGAACGAATCACCGTCACGTCGCTCAGAGATGCAAAACAGTGCTGTGAATGTGTTTGGAATTATTTTTGTTGTCGAAATAGCGCAAAAACAGACAATATGGTGTCTAATAAGTCTCTTAATTAACTTCTAGTTTTTTGAACTGTTGTAAAAAAATCAATATTATGTTTGTAATCATGGTAATTCTAGGAGAAATAAATGCCACTTTTTGTGTGATATTGATTAACTATATGAAATTATATAAATATATACATTTTCTGTCCCCATATCTTGAATTTGTGATCATTCTAAATGTATTTTTGAAATTATATAAATATATACAATTTCTGTCCCCATATCTTGAATTTGTGATCATTCTAAATGTATTTTAATAGACCAAATCATGCAGTGAAATACTCGATAATGTCAAATCACACATCGTTAAAACAACAATTACGATATTATCGCAGACGATATATATATATGGCACACCCCTAGTCTGAACATGAATAACTGCTGAATGCTAGCAGGACGGACCACGCCGAAGCTGAAGACGTCAGATTTAGGAGTGATTTCTCCTCGCAGGGCCTCCGGCGCCATGTAGGCCGTCGTACCCACAATCCTCCCCGTCATGACCGTCGAGCACGAGTGATTGGCTGAGGCGCGCGTCAAACCGAAGTCAGAGATCTTCGGAACGAAGTCCTCATCCAATAAGATGTTCCCACTGTTAAACAGATGGAATAATGCTTTAGAGATCTGTGAATAGCAGGTCATGTGACACATCTGGGTTGATCACTGAAAAGGTTGTAGGTTAGTCATTTAAAAAAAAAATCAAAGACAGAGAAGAGGAATATGATGAGACGCTGTCATTGAGGGAAGATCCTGTAGAATCCTGAGCATGCTGCTGTCATCAGATGCTCATAAAGAAGAACACACACACTCACACACACACTCACACACACACACACACAGACACGCACACACAGACACACACACAGACACACGCACACACACACACACACACACACACACAGACACAGACACACACACACATATATACTGTATATACACACACACACACACACACATATATACACACACACACATATATATATACACACACACACACATGTATATATATATATATATATATATATATATATATATATATATATATATATATATATATATATATATATATATATATATATATATATATATATATATATATATATATATATATATATATATATATATATATATATATATATATATATATATATATATATATATATATATATATATATATACACACACACACACACACACATGTGCTCATCATCTGATCGTGGTTGTATCTTTCTATTAGTGCTATTGGATCTTAGCGCTGCGTTCGACACTATTGACCACAACATTCTTTTGCATAGACTAGAAAACTTTGTTGGCATTAGTGGGAGTGCATTAGCATGGTTCAAATCGTACTTATCTGACCGCCATCAATTCGTAGCAGTGAATGAAGAGGTATCACATC